ACATAAATTTTCTGCTTTTCACAATTATCTCTCCTTTCAGTGGAAAATATCCACGTTTTCCTTTTCATGTTTTTTGCATTATGCAGGTTCCTGCTTTTGCAAGTTCTACTGAATTTTCGTTCTCTGTATTGAAATAACTTTAATGTAACCATACCAGAAGGAAGAAGGTATTCCTCTACTTGGTTTTCTACTATTCCATGTGCTATGTTTTACACATTTTGTGTTTGTCCCTTGGCCCTTTTGTTTACAGGGAGAGAAAGCTCTTGTGGCATAGTGCTTATGGAAGTGCACTGCTCACCCAAAGGCCACCCCTTTCTGGTGGTTCAAATCCACCAGCTGGTCCACAGGAAAAAGAGGAGCAATTTCCTCTGTGTGATTTACAGCCTCAAAACCCAGTGGAAGGTCAGTTATGAGTTGGTTCCAACTCCACAGTAATGAGTTTAAGTGTTTAGAGACATTTAGGATAAGAGATACTACACGTTAGTTATTATCATGGAAAATGCATAAAAAAATTACTTTGTATTTCCTCCATGTGCTGTCTCAAAACTCAAGTCACCAAATGAAGCAGTGATTTAGAAAAGGCAAAGATGAAAGAGTGTAAATTTGTACTTACTGGATGAGATTCTGTTCCAGTTAATTTCTTGTCTCCTCCAAGTTCTCCTGTCTTCTCTTCCCCAAATTCTGAGCAGATTTCTCAATTTTCAGTTCTCTAACATTCTTCTCGGTGGTATAGCACTGACCTGTGCATTGCTGTACCAAGGTAACTTGTGGTTGCTGTGATGCTGAACACTGTGACAGTGATGTGCCAAATGTGATAATGGTTACCTATGGTGGACAGTGTTTGGTGGAGCTTCCTGATTAAAGCAAGCTTGGAAGCAGGAGTAGCATCCACTTCCAAAATGGTTTGCCTCTGGAAACTATGAACAGTGCTCAGGCCTTTTCTTCATAGGGTCGCTATGAGTAGTCTACAACTTGACGGCACCCAACAACAACATTTTTCCTTGAAGTAACTACAAGGAGACTTAAGAGCATCACTGACATTGCTCTTATAACCTACAACTACTAAGTTAAAAAATCCTGACAACTTTTCTGTCCTATGGCTCAAGGCGCTTGTCTACGTCTCCCCATCGTCATTGCTAATGTTTAAATTTAGGGAGTTCCAGTGCCTTTGTGGTAAGAAGTTGTGCTGTCAACCTAAAGGCACTACTAAGCTTGAATCCACCAGATGCTCCTCTGGAGAAAGAGGGCTAATCTCCTCCCCTGCCATCTGCAAACCTACTGGAGGGTCAGATCTGACTCTATGGTACATTACACAACAACAATTAAATCCAAAGGACTATCATCTCCTGTTTAAGTTATAGACTGTCATCTCTTGCATCTCTTGGTGCAATAGTTGCCCATTTGACCTCTCAAACCAACTAGCATTCTGCTAAAAATTACTCAATTTGTTGTTGTTGTTGTTATGTGGCATCAAGTCGTTTGCGACTCATAGTGACCCTATGTACAACAGCCCTAAACCCTGGTCTATCCTGTACCAATCGCACTGCCTCTGATACACCCATCCTGATTACCCCAGTCACTGAATCAATCCATCTCATAGAGGGTCTTCCCCTCTTGCACCGTCTCTCCACCCTCCCAAGCATGATGTCCCTCTTCAAGGACCTGTCCCTCCTTGCAACATGCCCAAAGTATGTCAGACAAAGCCCCAGAATCCTTGCCTCCAAGGAGTAGCTTGGTTTAACCCTCTCCAGGTTGAATCTGTTTGTTTTCTTGGCAGCCCATGATACATTCAATACTCTTCTCCAGCACCACAGCTCAAAGGCATCAATTCTCCTTCTGTCCTCCCTAGTCATTGTCCAACTCTCTGATGCATAACAAATGATTGCAAAGACCATGGCCTGTATCAGGCACACCTTAGTCTCCAGAGAGACACCGTTGCTCTTGAGTACTTTAGAGAGGTCCCTAACTGCAGACTTTCCCATCGCAATACGTTTTCTGATTTCCTGGCTGCTGGTGCCAAGAGTGTTGACCGTGGAGCTGAGCATTTAAGAATTTCCTTAAATCAGCACAAAAGGTTCTTTACTGATCTAACATTTTCCAATTTCCCCCCCTCAATTTTGTTTGCTTTGTAGGTGTTGAAAATACACGCAGTAAAACATACATCAATTCAACAGTTTCTACAGGTACAATTTAGTACCATTGATTATATTCTTCAAGTTGTACAATCACTCTCACTTTACTTTTCCAAATTGTTTCTCCTTTTAAAATTTTATTCATTTATTTACAATTTTTTAAATCTCTTTCTCTTCTCTTTACTTCAGATGTTTACACACATAATCCATAGAAGGGTCAGAAATATGGTTGAAAATTGAGCTGAGATTGAGTTGAAAAATCCCTGTTGGGTCCCCCCTCCCAAAAAAAAAGATAATAGAAGCAATTTGATAGGAAAATCAACACGATTTTGCATTTAAAAAATAAGACAATATGGTTAAAGGAGCAATATAATATGAAAAAAAACCTTTCAGACATGGAGTCCAGTGAAGGAAAAGGCAATATGCTATAGGGAGTGAGCAGCCAGCATTACTAAAGAAAGGAAGTTACAGAGAGGTACAATAGAACTAATGAAAATCAGAATTTCAGGGAGGAAGTGGAATAAGTGGAGTCACATTATGAGTGTTGAAATTAATGCTACAGAACAAAATATGGCTGAATGGTGGAGTGAACGATTACTTTATAAGCTTTTATTCAAATCACAAGGGGGAAAAAGTAGAGGACAGAATTTTTTTTACAAAATTAAAAATTATACAGTTCATTTTGGGAGTAGGGGGTCAGAAAATTCAGGTAATTCGTTTCAAAGAAGTCAAAGCTGACTGAGAGGCTTCTACTAACAGTACAGGCATTGGAATCAGGTAAATCAGGTTCTCGTTATGACTCAGCCACTTAAAGCCTGCTGAACAATCAGTGAATCATAACACCTTTGAGCCAGAATTTCTGTAAGAAGACAATACTTTATCCTTCACACGGATTAAGTTACATACCTCTAGTGTCTGACATAATCTCAGCTCAGATACACTTTATCTAAATAATATGTGCATTATTATGATTCTAAGGAATTGAGGTTGTAACAATGACATGTATAAGACAGGAATAAACTGTGCTTAATCACTGCGAAAGATAATGAGCATCTCTGGGACACACTAGACCACATTCTCCTGAGATTTATGGACTCTGGTTACTTGGTGCTCTCCCTAGTAGCAGGTTTCCAGGTAACCACTGGCTCAGGATGACCTCAGCATGTATTTGCTACCAAGGTGTTTTATGTCTTATCCAGACAGTACTCTCCTTCAGACAGTTTATTTCCTTTTATCAGAATAAAACTCATTTGACTTTCCCCCTTATCGCTGCAGTCAGAATTTTGTCATTTTCAATGGGGTAAGACATCAGTGTTTTCTATATGAGTAAGTCAGCTTTGGTGGCCAGTGGTGAGAAGCAACACTGCTCATCCAAAGTCAGGTGGTTATAATTCACTAACTGCTCAATGATAGAAAGATGGGTATTTTCCTCCCGTGCAATTGATTTACAGCTTCTGAAAACTCACTGGAGAGTCACCTATGAGTCATTTCCAACTCAACAACACATAACAACAAGAAATCAATTTTAGTTGTCTAGATAAACCCAACCATTGAGGTTGTGCCTGCTTTTATTGGAAATGGATGAACACAGTTTTGTGATATCCATCTCTTCCTTTTTTGGTTTTGAAGGATATATTTAAGCATATTTACACAAACACATACAGAGAAGTCAGTGGAATTAAATTTTTTAAAAAACATGATAATAACAGAATAACGAATATATTGATTTAATTATTTAAGCATTCACAATTCCTATACAAACTGTACTTCCTACTTCAGCAAACAGAACAAAATAAACATACATGATTTAGTAAAAAGAAAAGTAGATCAGGAATGAGAATTATAGAGTACTGGTTCAGTAGCTGGTGTTGATTATTTAGCTAATCTTGAAGAAGTCACTTACTTCCTCTGGTTTTCAAATTCTTTATGTAACAAAAAGATTAAAGTTCATTGTTCTATCAAACTCTTATGAGTACATACATGCACATATAGAAAATATGAATGGGCTACTTGATCATATGTTCATATTCATATGTGCATTTCTAAGCACATACATACAGCTTTGTTTTTATGAGGAAGCTGCTTATGAAGGAGGGCATGGAGTTGTGACAGGTATGAATCATATTAATGTTGATATGATTTGGTTCTAGCATTTAAAATGCTCCCATTCTCATTCCTCCATTCAAAGAGTGGTTCTAAAAGTGTGGTCCCAGGGCACTAGCATCACCACCATGTGAGAATTTGTTAAAAACACACATCCTCAAATCTCCTCTCAAACCTGCAGAATCAGAGACCGTGGAGGTAGGCACCAGCCATCTGCATGGCAGCCTTCTTCTCTCTTGGGGAGTCTAATGTGCACAAAAAAAGTGAGAAACACTGCATGTAGGCTCCCATAGGAAAGACTTGTATACAGTGTCACTTATCTTTGGCAAGAGAACCAATTAAATGGAGAAAATCTGAGCTCTGCAGAGAAATTAAAATGGTAAGAACAGATATTGGGAGATAAAGATGGTGGCAAGCCAGGGCATGATATGAATGTAGGAAACTCATCTTGATACATGTGCGTACAGAGGCCCAAGCTGCGATAAGAAAGTTGTCGCTCCCTTTGCCTGTTCAAATACTTGCTCTTCTGCAGCATTTCTGCTTTTATGCTCATAATTGCTAGCTTTAAACCCTGTGCCTCTAGTGGGTCCTCTAAGAAGGTGACAATCCTCTCTTCCTAGCTACCCCTAATGTTTAGAGTATTTTAGCATAGAAACCTAAAATGCAAGGAGTTAAACCTTCTCAGAGTTCTGAATGCTTCTCCACACCCTTTCCTACAACTCTAGATTTTCCTGATTCTAACTGTAATTCTGCCCTCACTTGTAGTTAAGGTGCGGATGAATGTTCAGGGAAGACAAAGTGAATTCCTGCGTTTCTCTTGGCAATAAGTGAGCTTGAGTAAAGTGTAGGGGTGAAAATAAGCCTATGGAAGCGACAAGGCAAAAACTCAGCGTGGACACTCTTCAGAAGGCTTATGGATGCAGTGTTGTCATCCAGGACGTTCCCCTGGGATGGAAATCCCCGACTTTGCAGCTTCCTGGCCAGGGTGAGGGCCACCAGTCGGCTGTAACCTTTGCGACGATGCTCAGGCAGGGTGTAGCCGTGGCACATGGTGGCAAACTGGTCTGTAATAGACCAGGAGACGGGGCTACCCCTGTCGTCACGGACACACACACTGGGGAAGGAGGAGATGAGGTTGGCGATGTACCGGAGACATAGCTCATTGCCACCCCGAGACCAAGTCCGGTTGAGTAGATCAGCATCAGTAACACTCAGGTAGGTTAGTCGGGGAGGAGAACCCAATCTGCAATAAAATACCATACAAGAAGAAATATGAGATAAGATTATATGACTGCAAACAACTACTTCTCTTTTCACACTGATTCAAACTGAAATATCATCCAAGGGATACCCCTTAGCAAATACTATCTATTGTGAGGTTTAAGAGGGTTAGGGTTAGGGTTAGGGTTAGGGTTAGGGTTAGGGTTAGGTTAGTATGTGAGACTTGATATGATACTAATAAACTACTAGTTTGTGTTTTCACTGTATTAGTGATTTGGTGGTTTTAGATCCTAGGTCAGGAATTCTGTGGGCTTTGGCAATAGCTAGTTATTGAACCATTATATACTAAAAAAGGGTAAAAAAAATAAAAACAGCAAGCATTATAGCTCATTTCCTTGATTCAAGTTTGAAACAGATCTTTAAAACCAGTGCAAGAGTGAATAAATGGAAATCCAAACTCTCTGTAAACTTTCATTAAAATATCAATTAAAAAAAGAACCACAACCACAATGCAAGTAAACTTGAGGTAGAAATGTCACTGCAATAGAAGTAAATATTTCAGAAGGAGTTATCATTAATACTTTGGAGTTACCATTCATAGCATGACCTTTCATTTGAAGGGCAAGGTATAGAAACTAGAAAGAGTCCACATGTTGGGATAATGACTTAAGGGTTAAAAACAATTGCCTAACTTCCTGTGTTAATGAGATAAATTCAAACAAAATACAATTTTCAAAAATCTAATTGTAGATGGAAGAAAATATCGAATGGAATCTCAGAACCAATAAACAGGGCAAACCCTACACACACACACACACATACACACACATATATGTGAAAGAAAAAAAGGGGAGTTACTAAAAAAACAAAAATAAAATCTGTAGGTCAAAAGACATTTCAGAGGCATCTTATCCACGCAACGCATGGTCCTTATTTATATATTGACTGAAAAAAAAGTTTTAAAAATTATGATAGTTGGACAACTTTGAATATTAACTGATTATTTTAGTGTTATAATTTTTAAAGAATGATACTAGCATAGGTTCCTTATTGTTGTTATTTTTTTAAAAAAATAACAGCAATAATTTGAGTGTTGGAAATACACACATAAAAAAAAATCTAAATATACTATGATGATCTGGTGGCCTAGTGGGAAGAAGCAGCACTGAATCCCAAAAGCACACAGTTCAAGGCCACCAGCCACCACTCCAACGAAGAAGGATGGGCAATCTACTACTGTGCAATTAACTGCCTCTGAAAACCCACCAGAGGGTCAGCGATGGGTTGGTTCCAACTCTAGGGTACACAACAACATACTATGATGTCTGGGATACTTCCTTTCAAAACAATCCAGTGGATGGAAGATTAGTTTTATATTGCTAGAAGATGTGTTTTACTGTTTTCTCATATACTTTAGTATGCTGTTGTTTTTGTTCTGTACCGTTGAGTCAGAATCTATCCATAGCTGAACCTCTGGAAGAGTTTCAGAAGCCGTTAACTGCACACATTCTGACAAGGAGCTACACCACAATTCTTAAGGCACACGGTTCAAATCCATCAGATGCTCTGCTGGAGAAGGATGGGCAATCTCCTCCTATGCCATTAGATGCCTCTGACAATCCACTGGAGGGTCAGCTATGAGTTGATTTCAAAACAACAACAATAGTAATAGAACACAACAACAGTGAGAAAATAAATCTTGGTTTGCTAAAGCCACCCACTTGTGGTATTTCTATTATAGCAACATTAGGTAACTAAAACATACTCTGGAAGTAAATCTCTTTCCCTCTGACTCTCTCTCTCTCTATCATAAACACACACACACACACACACACACACACACACACACAATTTTTTGAAACAAACTGAACCTGAGAAAGGCTAAGATAAAGTGAGGATAATTAGTAAAATGGCAAGAATTCGGAAGTAAGAGAAAAAAAGAATGTCAGTGTAAATTAATAAATGTTCAAAGACTAGATACTGGAACTGGACTTGATTCTGGAACTGCACTTCTAGGGATTATTTCCTGGCTCTACGTTTCATTCCTATATGTTACTTTAACTGAGATTTAAAAGACTATAGTTTTACTTTACAGGATTGTGCTGAGGTTTAAACAATTTGTTAAATTGTTAAGTTAAAATATTTCATAACTAGTATATAAGAGCGCAACATAAATCAGCTGCTTCCCTACCATATAAACAACAAATATAATTAAAATCTCAGGCTCAGATGACAGAGATAATTCAGAAACTTGCAGAGAAGAAAAGGATGTCAGTAAATGTGCTGAGATTCAACCATTGCCTTCAAATGGGAACCAACTTAAACCTGATCCTCCGTTCAGCTTCTGAGACTCTGCAGCATCTCACAGACTACACACAATGTGTACTGAGAAACAAGAGTCTTTAATTCTTATGTAATCCATATTTCTAGGATTGAGGTGAGGTGACTTACTAAGGTCATATCCTTAAGATATTCTTTTGAACCTTGAACATTAAGGAAACTGGGCTATAAAAGTCACTTTTCAATTAAATAAAAAAACCCAAAAAACACACTGCTATCAAGTCAATTCTGACTTATGGTGAGACCTTCCATTGGGTTTCTGAGGAGGAGGGCTCTACTTTTTACGGAAAGTGACCGCCCGTCTTTCTCCCAGGCATTCCCCATGGATTCAAATCTCCAACCTTCTGGTTAGAAACCAAACAGATGATCAAAACACAAGTACTAATAAACAATAGTCTAGATAAGTTAAAGACTGTTTAGCCTTTGTTGTTGTTGTTGTTGTTATGTGCCGTCGAATTCTTTTAAAGACTTATTTTTTGTGAAGTTGGTCAGGAAACAGAAACTCCAAGTCATACTAGAAGTTGTGTTTTAGGATTAGTTGTTACTAAATAAATGCACTGCTCTGGCCCTGTTTCTAGGGCAATATTGAGAAGATGGGGGTCATGGATGGACTAACACATGTATGTAATCTGACAATCCAATTAGTTGTAAAGGATTAAGGGTGGGATGCAAGCTTCCTTTACTTCCTTCCATCACAACCATGATCATATGTCTGGGGAGTTTCCCTTGAGTGTAGCCTGTGAAAATATCTTTTATCTTGTAAAAGATAACTCAAGAGAAGAGTGAGCAGAGAGGGAGTTTCAGTACTACAAAGAGAGAAGGAAATGAATGAAGCAAACAAGTCCCTATGTAGGGTAGTTCTTCAGAAAAAGGGAAGACCAGACGTCTGAAGATCTTTTCTGAGGCATGCCAGGCTTACATATGCTGAAGGAATTAAAGATATTTCTCTAGAATCAATAGCAAAAGAATCCTTTCTCCTAGAGCCAGCACCCTCCTCAGCTATGTGAAGTACTGTCTTTGGGTTAGCAGTGCAGCTTGTTATGGACTACACCACCAAAGCCCTTTCAATATCAAGAAAAGAAAAAGCCTCACAATTGAATCAATGGATAATATCATGATAAATAGAGAGAAGACTGAAATTGTCAAGGGCTTCCATTTACTTGGTTGAGTATGGAATCCAGACTCATATAAGCAGTGGTCAAGAAATCAAACACCATATTGCACTAGGCAGATCGTCTGCCAATGACCTCTTTAAAGTGATAAAGATCAAGGATGTTACTTCGAAAACTAAGGTGCATCTGACCCAACTCACCTATATTCAACTTATTTATATGTTTGTGAAAATTGAACAATCAATAAGGAAAACTGAGAATACTTGATGCCTTTAAACTGTAGTATTGATAAAATGTTGAATATACCACAGACTGTCAAAAGAACAATGTCCTGGAAAAAGTGTAATTAGAGAAGTTCTGGAAGCTGAGATAGTGAGGTTTTTTTGTCTCCTATGTGTGGGCATGCTGCCAGGAGGGGCCAATCCTTGGAAAAGGACATTGTGTTTGGAAAGCAAAGAGGAAGGCTCTCAATGAGATCGATTAACACAGTGTCTGTACAGCAAAGATTGCATGAATGTGCAGGATCTTATAAGATTTCAAACTGTTGTACACAGAATTGTTATGAGTTAGAGTTGACTCAGTGGCACCTACAAGTCAAAATGTGACCCTAATTTTTACATCATATCTTAAATAAACTAGAATCCATTTTAATTATTGGTTTAATATGATTTTCATTTTAACAACATGGTACTGCAACACAGAGCTTCTGAGTTTATTTATATCCTCGTAAAAGATATCAGTTTGGTTTCTTAGGCAATTATAAGTAGTCAAATATCTCAGAGAAGAATAAATATACACATAACTTAATTGAAATGTCCCTACCCAACTCAAAGATACTTAAATATTCCTTAATGATGCTAAGAATTACAGGACTTCCATAACAGTAATGCCAACCCCAAATGCAGAAAATTGTTTTACCTACAGGGAACTGATGTCCGGTAGAGTCGGAACAGAAGCAAAATGAACTGCCCGGAAGGATGTTAGCTTTACGTGCAATTGCTTAGTGTTGGCAACAGCTTTGGAAACATCATATAAGTCACTCTGCAGCCCTGTATACATAAAATCACACATAATAAAAAAGTGTAGCCATTTGGACTGATAGAACAAAAAAGGAATTTGCTGCATTTTACTAAATATCACTTGTACCATCTGTTTGTCATTTTGCATTACCGTAGCCTTCATAGTGTATTATAGTTAGGTACCATAAGTCACTTCCAACTCACTCCAACCTCAAGTGACAGTAAAACTGCCCTGTAGTTTGTTCAGCTGTAATCTTTACAGAAGCAGATCTCCAGATCTTCTCCCCTGGAGCAGCTGGGTGGGTCTGATCCACCAACATTTTGATTAGAAGACAAGTGCTACACAGGCTGGGTAGATTAGTTATTTTGTGTCTGCTTTTCAAAACTTATATGAGGTTTTTAAATCCCCATCTTATTGCTTATTATGATCATATACTGTGATCTTTCACAGACATTTATGGTAGGATTGTTCAAAGGAATTTGGAGTATATTGAAGGAATTTTTATTTTCCAACCTTCAGATTGATTTTAAGCTCCTTATGGAGTGGAGTGATGCTTTTATCCATAACAGTCTCTGATAGGCCATACAATTCAATACAGACAAGATCTTAGATGTATTTGACACAACATGCTGACTTTAGACTCTTCCAGAGAAATGACTCAATTGCTCAGACAATTAAGTTTCTCACTTGATTCACATCTAATGACATGTATCTTACCCACTCCTCCCACCAAGTCACTTTTCCAATTTTCCCTTGAGACTTTATCTTGAAAAATATATGAATGGGAAGCTATGTGGAATAGTCTCCTTTTGGAACATTAGATCCTGCGTCAGAGAATTAAATCTCAAACAAAGGGAAGGGGGAGCAGGTTTTCAATAAGACATGGTTAAATTAATTGATGAAAAGCGCATGCTTTCCCCCCAATACTGATTTACTTACAAAATGGGGCTAGAATCTCATAATATGATCCTGAACTGCATTTAATAAATAATAAATTAAAAAAGACTATTAAGGGAAGGGAAACATCAATCAAAAGGATGATGCAGATAATTTTTACCCCCTAATTGTTTTTAGGTGGCACTGACTCATAGCACCCCTATGAGTGGATCTGAACCTTGCTTTGAACACAGTCCACACCATCTTGCAATATGCATATGCTCAAGCCCATTGTTATCGTCACAGAGTCAATCCATCTTGATTAGGGTCTTTTTTCTCTAAACTGTACTGATATTTTCTAAAACCAGCTTAACACTTCTTTCAAGTGTAGCTTAGACACAGAAAACAGCATACAACAATTATTATTACAACTTCCAAATTCAAGAAATGGAAAATTACCAACTACCTTGTGTTTCTCTCTCAATCACAAGTCCATTTTCTTCTAAAGAAAAAAAAAATCCCTTTCTTAAACTTCTCAGGAATCACCATTTTTGTTTTTCATGATAGTTTTATCATTCATATATGTATTCTTAAGCATTACATTTTAATTTTGCCTTTTTTAAAAAAGTGCTGTAAGTCTCATAATTGAGAAGATCTTCTTGAATTCCCTTTATTTCCTTATATTTATTTATTAAAGAGTTCCGTTTATTTACTATGAAAAGTTTTCATAGTCTGAGTTTGCTAATTAAATTTCCATGATTCTGTTGACCATTTCCTCTGTATACATTACCACCTCTTTTGATGAGTCTCTTCATTTCCATACAAGACAAGAACTTCTGCTTCATTCTCTTCATTCTCACATGAGCCAGAACTACCTCTGACCGTCATACCTCTCAATTTCTGGCTGCTCTTCTTTTAAGAAGTTGTTATTGATTTTATGTGTTTGTTTGTTTGCCTTCCTGCCATCACAAGCATCTATTATTTAGTTCTTTAATTACTAAAACGATTTTTTAAAAAAAAAAATTCAGTGTACAAGTAGCTATGGGAATTGAAGGGAGCTTTGATAGTGTAGCTGGTAGGACGCTGTACTGTTTAACCCAAAGATAGGACTTCTCTGGAGCCCAATAGCTGTTTCATGGAAGAAAAATGGGCAGTCTCATTCCATGTAATTAAAAGGCAATAAAAACCAGCGGGAGGATCAGCTATAAGCCAGTTCCAACTCAAAGACAATGTATCAGTCACTCTTAGCTACTGAAGAATCTGATTGAGTTTTGTATGTTGGTCTTATATCCTGCCACTTTGCTGAATCATTCAATTAATTCCAACAATTTCTTGTTGAGTCTTTGAAATTTTCTCTATATAGGATTACATCATCTGCAATAGTTTTACGTCTTTTGTTGATCTCAATACATATTACTTCCTTTTCTTCTCTTATTACTTTGGTTAGAATTTTCAGTACAGTATAGATTAGGAGAAATAATAATAAAGGGTTCTTTGTTTGGTTCATGTTCCTAAGAGGAATGACTCTAGTCTCTCTGAGACTAACGTTCACCATTGCTCTCAGTTATTCCCCAGGTTAGAAACTTTTTCAATGTAGTCAGTTGCTCTCACTTTTGCAAACTAGAGCTTCAGTACATTCAAATGTACCTTTTTCTTCTCATAATAAATGCTTCTGAACTTATTTTTCAGAATTGAGTGGCCTTTCCCCCCCCTAATACAACAATCTTTTATTCTTTTATATTAAACCTTACCTTGCAAATGAACTGTAGAATGGAGAAGAGTGAAGGACTCTGACTTGGGTACTAAAATCCTACACTGAACTCCCAAGACTGAGGTCATTAGAATTATATGCTGTAAATTTTGTTATTTACACTGGGCTGAGAGTGATGGTACATGTGGATGGGGATGAAATGGAAGAGAAGCCAGAAAGGTGGTAAAGAGAAGAAACCATCCTTACCTCCTTTCTAGTTGCTAAGACCACTGCAAACATAACTGGGCAACCACTTTGAAATAAAGGAAGAGATACCATAATCCTGAGGTGGAACCTCAGATAACAACAGGGCACTGACAATATTAAATTTTCCTTGAAGCTTATGATCGTAGAAAATAGTGAGTGTTAAATAAATTTCCCAAATTTTATGTCCAGAAAAGGACTTACTCTAAAGAATGTAACTCTGCATATGACTTAATTAAGATTCATAGATGATTCCTTATTCATTTGCCTAAAATGGTACTCCGAAATCCTGAAGGCATGTGGTTTGAATCCAACAGCTACTCCATGGGAGAAAGATGGTCACTTTCATGCAATTTACTGCTTTTGAAAACCTGCTGCAGGGTCAGTTATGGGTTGATACCCACTCCATGGCACACGAAAGCAACAAGGTCAGACACAGGCTTTTCAAATTCCATTCTTTGCCTCACAAATGATTGGCTGACATTTTTATCTGAACTGATCAATTAGTACAAAACACTTATTAATCAAAGTTTGGTTAAGCTTCTTTTCTTCCTTAAGTCCTTGAACTTGGACCAAACCTCAATCTGAATTAGTGGGCATCAATCTCTTTAAGAGTTCTTTCCAAAACCAGGTTGTACTCAGTAATAAAAGCTCTGATCTAGTGTTTGATAACCCTCTGCCTTTCACTCCACTTCTCCACACCTGGTTCCTTCCAGCCTCATTCACTCTCTGTCAGTATAATAAAACCTTTATGCCTTAATCATGAGGCAACAGATGATCGGTCAGAGTGTTTTCCTTATTGCAACAGTCCTCCTCCCCCCACTGCAATAGTTCTCTATCACTTTTGAAATAATCCTTTTGAATAGGTTATCATCTTACTAAATCAGATTTGCATTTTATTCAACACCACTACTAGCGAACCCAGTTATTACATAACTGACGTACTCAGACTGCCATATAATTAGACTTGAAGGCTTTGGTTTTCTAATAATAGAGAAGGGTTTTATAATTATATATTTTTTTTAATTTTATATTGGTTTACATACAATGTTCATAAAGTATATATACATCGTTTTTCACACTGGATCTCAGATTTTGGTGTTAGAATATCCATTCTGTTTCTGCTGTTCCAAACTTCATCTGTGAAATACTATCTAGATTTTATGCTGAACAGAGTTTATTTACTCCTTAGCAATAAAACTCTCACTTAGCATTCAGTGTTTAATCTCCAACAGTTTTTTTTGTTTGCTTGTTTTTGCTTTTCATTCCTCTCTTTTAACACTTCTGGAAATCCTACTTTTATCGCTCAAATTAATCATACACGGAAAGGGTCAGATCACCAATACTTAAACCCTTGGTTTTTTGTTTTTGTTTTTTTTTTTTACTGTAGGGTAATTTCTTTAAATTTTATGAATTGCCCTCATTTTCTTGCTTCCTAAAATTAGTATGTATTGGCAAGACCTTGGCAATAACCATCTTAAATCACGACATAGATGACGTATGTGAGAAATACAGAGTAACAAGAAAGAAATAATAATAGTAATAGCTATAGTTCATAAGTCTTGGTTAATGTTGGTTAATATTGGTACAATTTCATAAAATAAGAGGTGAATTTATGCTAAATCTAGCAAATCTTCAGATACAAATGAAACATCCAGTGCAAAAAAAACCCCAAAAAACCAAAAAAACAACAAAACATGTTATTAAATCTGTTGTTTCACATGGTTTCCAGGTAATCATCCTTTAGTTGTAATAAATACAGTGGGCAAAATTCAGAGACAAATAAATAACAGAAGGCAATTTTTATGCTTAAGAGATCCAGTTAAATCTAGCAAAAAGTTTTGGCTGTCATTACTTATTTATCTGCTAAGCAAAATCATAGAGATTCAAATCCACCCAGAAGCACCTTGAAAGAAGGGTCTGGCGATCAACTTTTTTTTTTTTTTTTTTTAAAAAGAGCCCTTGGAAGCCATGTGAAACATAGTTATTCTGTGACACATGTGTTATGAGCATGAATTTGAATCAATTCAACACCCACTAGTATAGTATGATATGTAGAAAGATGAGCCACAATATAAAATATCATTTAGAGGGGGAAAAGTCTTTTTTATGCAATAATCAATTATGTTGGGTCATTATTGTAAAAGATTCACTAACCTAGTATTGATGGAAGTTCATTGATAAACTCATCTGACAGCT